GGAAATTAAAACGAATTAAATGCTCACTATTTTCACCCTTTCTTTTGACCATAGAGTTTATTTTAAAACAAGTGAGAATCAATTAAATAAAAAATTTTCCATAAATATTTTTTGGTAAAATGCGTGTTTTAAAAAGATATCTTAAACTACCCAGTAAAAACTAGGTAATGGCTTTCAATTGTAATTGCTTACCTAACAACATACTTTTCAATGACTACCACATATCATGTGGATTATTAATGTGTTATATAAATACTCTCTAATTCATTAGTCATCTTGCCAGTGAAGATATTGAAGCTGTATATGTTTTTTTATGCGATTTACAATGAATACTTTTTCTAATTACTTGTAATCGTTTGTGGTAAGTACTTGCCTCCAATGACATCACCGTGTTAAAATAATGACTTAAAATGCTATTGTGTAAGTAAATTTTAGCATTTTAACCCCTTACATGGTAATGAAAGTTTTTACTGGGTAATATTACTATTCAGAATTCTTTTAAATATTTTATTTAAATTTTGTATAAATTAGATGATATTTGTTAGATTTTATAATTAATTTTAAACCGAATCAAAAGAGGAATGTCTTATCTATTTTATTTATCTTGTTTGATTGTTGAAATCAGAACAATATAAATTTAATAATAGTATATAAATTAAAAATTTAATTGATGTCTAAGATGCTTAACAATTTTGCATACGTCTCATAAATATATCAAATTTATTATCAGCTGTCATTTCTTTTCATTTAAAATATACAGGTAAAAAAAATGCAAAATAAATTTTTATGCCACGAATATTAAAAAATTATTAAGATAAATTTTAATGCGCGAACTCGCCTATGAGTAACACTACAGTTTAACATTATAAAGAAAAATATAAAAATCTTTATATTTGTTTTACTCTATAAAATAAATAAAATGTATGAGAAATAGTTAAGTTGTAGACATTTAGTAATTGTTAATGACCTTAAGCTGTTAATAATCTCAAATAATAACTAACACCATTATACCATTATTTTAGATGTAGGGTATTAAAACTTGTCTTAGATCTATCTCGATAAAAAAAAAAGTAGCCACTCAAACCTGTCGACCTGTTTGGCTACACTTAATTAATAATTAATTATTTAAGCTTTATTCCGGCCAACAGAAGCATTCGGCAGGTATTGTTTTTTTGATTATACTTTTTTTAAAAACGTATTTAATTTTTTAGCGTTTGTTTTTTCTTAGCTGAAATTCTTCAAAAGATTATTTAACGAACAAAATTGTTTCAAATATGTTCTTTTATAAACTTATTTTTTTTATTATTTATACATTTTTTTGGGTCATGAAATATATATAGTGTTAATTATAAAAGTCTACTACCAAAAAACAAAACGCCTTTAAAATAAAAAAATGTTCATGTATATAAATATATTCTTTGTATATAAATAAATAACAATAGAAAAAAAATAACAACATTCAAATTTAATGAATTTTTGTCTGGGTTAAAATGAAATTAAAAAAACATAAGAAAAAGTCAAATTAAATTTAATGCGAAAAAACAATATAGAGTAAATAAAAAAATAATTAAACTTGAATTTGGACAGGCTTAAGCGAGTAACAGACTTTGATGTAAAAGTTGTTAAAAGAAAATATTACTTATTAATATTAATGTAAAGCGTTTTTCTTTGTGCTAATAGGCAAAAATAAGTTAAATCAATTTTAAATGTTAGAAAATATTTTCAATTAGAAATATGTTTAGTATAACTTTGATGATTTGATATTGAACATTTATCGACACCCAACACAACTATAGTGTCTGTACTGCTATTTTTTAAACAAAAAATATTGGTCTCAGATTAACCTCAAAGAATATCAATAACTTTCTGAGTCAATTCAGTCTTTGCCGTTTTTTCGTCTGTCTAACCGCCTTTGCAACATAGCATAACAATATGTATTTAATATACATTAGTTTCATATCCATAAAATAAATCGCTTATTGACTACAAGGCTGATATAAATCCTTACATTGTTGATTTACGAAGCTATTAAAACTAGTTTTCACTACGCTCGCTTATAAATAAGTACCTAAATAAGTTATTGCAGTTAAAAGTTATTTTGTTTTACTCACAAATAAATTGCCGATACGATCCCGGGTTTCGCGTTCGTTAGTTCGCTGTCGTACTCTCAAAGCCACATACTTAAATACGATATGCATTCTATGTGTGTGTAAATAGTTAAGTGGATCGTTATAAGTCAGTTATTATTATATCACTTAAGAGTAATACAAACCGTATGTAGTAGTATTTGGAATGTAAGTTATAGTGTAGGTAAAGTCATTACCAAATTATTGCTGTGAACACATGGTTGTACATGTCCATCTACGATTACTTACTTTTTGTGTCTTGAGATAATAAAGCTTAACAGTTCAGTTTTAAAACTTATTTTTTAACAGTATACCACCACTACAAAAATCAGTGAATTATACGATTTTTACTCACTATATGATACACAGTCATTATGAAAAATGTTGATTATTTTTTCTTTCATTTGACCTTAGTTCCGAAATATTTGAACAATTTGTTGAGAAAAAATTAATTTTCTAAAAGAGGGGTTATATGGGGGCAGGGGGTTAATATGGTCATATCCTTATAAATTTTGGTAAAGTTATTTATTATTTATACATTAAAGTTATTTATGCAGAATATCATAGTGATATTAGTGTTTATAACTAAATTTTGGGCATCAAGTCATTTTCTAAAAGGGACTTTGTATGGGGCATAGGGTCAAATGAGGCCCGATCATTACGAAAATCAGCAGTATCATTAAGACTTATATAAAACTAAGTTTTGCCGATTTTTGGAGTGATACAAGAACATTTAACATATTATGAGCTCGGGGGATACGTTTGTATGGGGGCTATGCGAAATAATATACTGATTTTAACCATTTCCAATAAGCTTCGTACCTGGGTCAAAAGATGAAATTTCATCAAATTATCTTGAAAATTGCGTCCTGTAGAATGCGCTCAAGGTTTACATGGACACACAGACGGACGGACAAAGCTAAAACGACTCAGAAAGTGATTCTGAGGCGATTGATATGTAGGACCAATATTTTTGGGTGTAACAAATATCAGCACAAGCGTATAATACCCTCCCCACTCCCCACGAAATAACTCCCCAAAACAAAAAAGAAATAACTCCCTAAAGATTTGTTCAGAAAGCAAAAACAACGAAATTTGGGGATTTAATTCGTTTTTTGGGGCATTATTTCACATTTAAAATGGGGAGATATTTCATTATGAAATAATTTCTCAAAATTCAAAAATGAAATAAAACCCTAAAAATATTTTTGGGGAGTTATTTCATTATATTACATTTGTCACACGAAATAAATAATATATGTCTGATAGCCGGCCTTCGGCCGGGCGCAAGGGTTTTATCCTCTGGGGTACATTGGACACCGGCTTCGCTAAGAATACACTCTCCTTGTATCAAATGTGTTCGGCATTAGGACGGCTATTTAGGAAATCTTTATTAAGCGAAGCCGGTGTTGGTCATATTATAAAGTGGTAAATCCTTGCGCCCGGCCGTAGGCCAGCTATTTAGGAAATATTTATTAAGCGAAGCCGTTGTTGGACATACCATAGAGTTGAAAGTCCTTGCGCCCGGCCGCAGGCCGGCTATTAAGGGAATCTTTATTAAGCGATTAAACTGAAATGTATTAAACTTTGAAGCCCCACTCGAAAGTATGAGCGACCTACTTTTTTTAGAAATGTCACTAAGACCGACTTGTTCCATAATTTGTTATTTTTAAATGGGAACTTATTTCATTTTAAAATTAGGGATTTGTTTCATATGAAATTAATCCCTAAAAAATGGGGTGTTATTTCATTTCAATTTAGGAAATTATTTCATTTCGTTGGGGCTTTTTTTCATTTTTAAATTAGGGAATTATTTCATAATGAAATAAGTTCCCAAATTTAGGGAGTTATTTCATTTTTGTTTTGGGGAGTTATTTCGTGGGGACTTATTTCATGACGCCGGGTATAAATATATATTAACAAGTAAGAGTGTTGCATTCGGCTGTGCCGAATCTTATATACTCATAAAACTTGTTTATGCTATAGTGCTATTTTAAGCAAGTTGTGGATGTTAAAGTATTTTTTTGAGTAAGACTTTATGTGGGGGATAGAGTTAATTATGGACCCATCCTCATAAAATTTGAGAAAATGATTTTTTTCCTATAAAACTTGTTTATGTCGAATTCCAATGATATATATGCTTTTTAAAGGCAATTATGAGCATTAAAGTAATTTTCTGATAGGGATCTTATAAGGAGGGTCAATTATGGATCGATACTTATAAAATATGACAAAGAGATTTGTTGCTATACAATATGTTCATGTCGAATATCACTGCTATAGATACTTCTTTTAAGTAGTTATAAGCGTTAAAGTCATTTCCTAAGGCGGAACTTTTATGAAGAAGGAGGGGTTTAGTTTTGATCAATTATGGTCCTATCCTTATAATATATTACAAAAATATTTAAGTTCCTATGAAACATCTTTGTACCAAATGAGGGTAGACTATATCGTGGATCTATTTTGCCCATTTTCAATACCAAACAAACTGCATCAACCAAAATATATCTATTGTAGATTTCACTAGCTACTTCCATTTGGACTGTATCGTGTTTTCAACAGACAGACGGACGGACATGGCTAAATCGTCTTAGAATCTAATAAGGACCCTGAATATATATACTTTTATGGGTCTTTTTTGATGGTGGATATACAAAAATATGTATATAATTAGCTAATTTGACAAAAATTCTTTACATCATATTAATCTTATCAGAACTCTAGGAATTCTATCAAAAGTAAAAATAACATGTTGTGTGATAAACCTCCAGATATACACATCTTAATGTTTTTACTAAACTTAAATATCTTTTAATATAACCTGTACCATTATTGTTTTGAGTTGTAAAAAATACTGTTTAAATTTCAACTTACCTTTTTTAATTATTTGCTGTTGCCATTTTAGAAACCCCAAGGGTGGAATTCAGGACGGACACTAAAACAACTGTCACTTAAAATTCAAACATACGTACATTAAACTTCATACGACTGGAGTGATGGTCTAAATTGACAAATCCTCACTTTTTTATTGTACAGATGAACAAGAGAAAAACCGAAAGAATAAAATTACGCTACGTTTTTTTAATTTGTTACTGGCAACATTTAAGTATTTTAGATTTAAACTAGACAATTTGCATTAATTTCATGAACATTAATGTAACTGTTGTAGTCTTATTTGTAGCTCTACACGTTTTAACAACAATGATGACAATGATGGAAAACAACAAATATTTTGAATATTTTATTTTTGTATTCGAAAACAAACAATATATTCACACTATAGTAAATGTGTTGAACAGGAGTTAGATGTGGTGGCGTTAGTGTATTATAAACATTTAGCATAAACTGTATTTATTCATCATCATCGTCAGAATGATTATTATCACTTGTACTATGGTCGTTATCAAAAGCACAGTTAAAACTCATTTACATTAAAGTACAATTTGTAAATGGCTTACAAAAAAAAAACAAAACAAAACACACACAGAAAATAGATGGAATTTATATTTCCAGGCTAAACTCAACTACTGCAGCGACACGACCGTTTACAGATTTTCTGTTATAATTTGTATCTTTTAGATGCTGAATAATAGTAGTAGCTAGCAATCAGTGGAACTTTTATTTTCTACTTTTTTTCAAACTAATGAATTAATTGGCAGTTGAAATGGGATTTTATTTTTTGTTTGTTTCTTACTTTATTTTGTATTTAATTTTAATGTATTTGCATAATTTGTTGAGTTGTGTTGTTTTTTATAAATGTATCTGCAAAGGTTTTATTTTACATAAAAAGATACATATTTCATTTATAGGCTTATTTGTTTTATATGTATTTATTTTTTTGTTAATTATGTTTAAATAATATTCACTTTAATTTATTTATTTACACACATATAATTTTTTTTTGTAAATGTTTTCTTCATACTTTTACACAGTTAATTTGAAATATATTTTTATATTTATTTTAACTATTTGTTTTATTTAATAATTTTTTATATAGGATCACACATAAATTTTTTTAATAAAATGGTTTTGATATGTTTATATATATATATGTATGAGTATTTGAATAGTATTGGTAGACTTTAGACTTTTGCAGACTTAATTATTTATATTTATACAGATTTTTTTTGAATATCTTTTTTTATTTTGATATTAATATTTTTCACACTGATATGTTGTTTGTCGATTTTCTTTTTTGTTTATTATTTACTTTTATTAAATTAAGTTGTTATTCGTTGTGAATTTTTGTTTGCCAATGAATCTGAAATAAAAAAAAAAAAATATATAATTTAATTAGCTTGCGATTTTTATGGTAATTTTCATACTTTTGAGAAACAAGTGTATTTGGTAAAAAATATTCATATGTATATGTATTTGTTTACAAATAAAATAAATATTTATAAAGCATTTAATTGATGTACGAATACAAACGAAAAAAATTATAACAAATTAAATATAATTGTACTCAATTGAATGTATTTTATATGTATATTGATATTGAAAGTATTTTTTTCTAAAAAGATGAGATGTTGAGTGAAAACAATAGGTTTGTGCATTTTTAATTAATTTTAAATACTATTCTTTAAAATACCATACCAATGATTATATATTTACAACGTTTTACTGACAAATTGTGGTCTTATAATATAGTAATAGAAAAATGATTCCTTCCTCATACTAAGAATAAATAATATTGAACAAACATTTTAGTTTAAGTAACTTGCTTCAAAACATTTACCCTTGTCACTGTTCATTTCTTAGTACCCCACATTAATCTCACGGGCATTAGTACAGTCCCTCTTTCTGTGACACTAAAAAAAGAAACTACAGTTAAAGAATTCGAATGACAGATGTGCCATTTAACTGCCAATAAAAATATCTATTTTGTTCGATTGATTTCTAATATCTAAAATAGTTTAATTTTTAAGTATTATAAAATAAAAAAATAAAATCGAACTCAACTCATCTTAGAACTCTTATTATTATCAAGAGGCAACAATTATCTAGAAATATTATTTTTTAAGAATATTCCCAGAAATGTGTATACACTACAACACCATAATACGGAAGTTAGTATGCATTTGTATTGGATTTTCTAATACATAAATATCGATTAAACCATATTTGTCCTAGTGCGCAAGGTACAGGTCACAATTTTTAAGATTATTTTATGAATTTTTTTTATAAATACATGCGATTATTTATATGGGGAATTTCGTGTGTGACCCAACTTTAAAAATCGATGTCTTCCGATCTGGATGAAATTTGCACCAAGGTTAGTACTATGGAAGAGCAATCACAAAGCTCTTAAAGGCAAGGGTCTAAGCATTCTTTTGAGCAAAAAAAATTACCAAAATGTCCAACTTTGACCTCCTTGAAAATTTGTGTATGACCTACTATCCAATAGTACTAACCTTAGTTCAAATTTCGTCAAAATCGATTTTTATAGTTGGGTCACTTGACATGAAATTGCCCATATATTAACAAAGCCTCTTTCAGAAAATTACTTGAATGTACAAAATTCACCTATAAACACTGATATCGCGATGAAATTCATCAATACAAAGGTCTATGTATATCCATGTACCAAATTTTATGGCGATCGGTCTATATTTGCCCTTAGCCCCATATAAAGTATCTTTCAGAAAATTTGTTGTTCATCAACAATAAGTTGTTTTAATATGTCGGAACGATATCCAAAACATGACAAATTACAATTTCTATTGTTAGTTTTCACTGATAATATATTGGCGTTGTAACTGATTGTTTTAACACGGTGACATCATTGGAGGCAACATACCACACTTGCTTAGAAATAAGGACTTAAATTAGTAAGTTGCCCCTGGGGTCATGTTACCTTGATGGAAGACCCCATCATGGTGTGATTGCAATCCCGGGAAAAAGAGGTCCTACCAATACTTCTAGTCTGCCGGGACTATAATCTGGTGATGATCATATGTATCCTCGACCTTGGAATGATTTGACATAGGGTCGAACCAGCGAACTACATAATCTGGTACTATGGGTGGCCAGTTGCCCGTAGGACTTTGTCCTGGCTGGTCAGTTGGTTGAGGTTCCTTCTGGATCCAGGTAGTGGCTGTGGTTTAAACCCAAATTCTCAAGAAGAGAATGTTGGTTAAAGGACTGGTGCACGGTGAAATCTATAATTCGTGATAAGTTCGGCGCGGAGTCACTGTGGGAAAAAGCGTTGGAAATGAATTGAAGTATATGATACGGGATGAATATAGGGGTATACGAGTCTTCCCCCGCCCGTATACCTAGAGTGAGTGTGTCGTATGTTGTTCTCTATGAGTGTGTCGGTTGAATGATAAGTGTGCTGGGTTGAATGGTGATGAATGAAAGGTATCTTATACAAGTGATATTATTGAATTTTCCTTTATTTTCCAGGTATGTTCAGGAAAAACTTAGATTTACAGTGGTGTGTTCCTAGTGAGTAGCCCTCGGTTTATTTGATGAATTCGTGTTTCAGAATACCGAATACGTCTCTAGATGCTGTTGCCGACCAAACAGAGGCCATCTGCATGGTTGTAAACGGAAGTGATGTTTTTGCATCTCGGTAGTTGAGCAACGGGACAGTTAGAGATTAGATAGCTCGAGTGCTCGAGCAAAGAGCTTGTATATGGAACGGTAAAACCAAGTATAAAAATTGCCACCCTCATTGGTTGAGTAGTCACAAAAGCTCGCCCTGTGGCTGAAAAAGACCACCGTGAAATAAGGCAAACAAGGCAGATATTCACGTAAAGCACTTCAACATTCGTTACAAGTAAGTTGTTCTTCAAGTTGTTGTACTTACAACTATTTCTTTTATTATTTGTGTAAAATGAAGCTGCTAAAGCAGATTATATATAAGTCATTACTGGACTAGTTAAAAGTAATGCAGTCATTGAAATAAAGTTAATGATTAACCCCCATATTGATAAAGATATTAATCGTTTATTTTAGGTTTATTACTAAAATTTTCCACATAAACTTGCTACAATAAACCATCAACAACTTTTTTAAGTATTTGTGAATATGGTGGTAAGTTTTTGTTGCGAATCTACTGTTTGTTTTATTATATTATAACCTCATTATGCTCCTATTTTAATCTAATCAAAATTTAACTATTTAATTCCAGTAAATAGTTTAAAATTTTCCCAAATATATATACATATAATTTAGTACATAAAAGCTATAATAGTTACTACCGTTTAATTATAATGTACCACCTTATAGTTTATAATTTGCTGAAATTCAAAATGAACATACCAAAAGAGCTAAATATTATGTTTTAATTAAACACTCAATTTGAAAACTAAATAAATTTTCGACTAATTACAAACTTAAACATATGGATTTATATAAAAATTTAAATAAACTTCTAGCTGAAACTAATTAATTAGACTTTAAGCATATGTATGTATGTGTGTATCTAATAGGTATCTGCTATATGAATAAACGTTAATTTTTATATACACGAGAAGGAGTTAAATATTTTTCAAGTGAAAAATTCAATAGCAAAATAGGCAACAAAGATGTCTGGGATCAAATGTAGCAAAATAAAATAATGTTAAAATAAATGTCTTTAATTCGGCGCCTAAAAGTACAAAAAAGTCCTAATTACGCAACGATTCCTGAGTGAAGTCTATTTCAATAGAGCCAAAATATTTTCTTACTATTCATATATGATGAATTTGAAAATTTATAGGCATTACCAATTCGGGATGTTGAAATTATCGTTTTTGACGCAATCAGATGATTTTGATTATCTATTATTTTTGGTTACATTTAAGCATTCAACAAACAAATGCTCGGGTATTTACAAATGGAGATAACTGTATTTGCTTCTATACGACTCATATTTGATAATTGTATACTTTTTAGAAAAAGACAAAATTGTACCAACTTTTACATCCCTGACCTACATAGATGAAAATATAAAAAAAAGAAAACTACTTTTCAAGGTATACAAATAAAGGCGGATGTTTTGGAAGGATAGACAGAGGTAGTTTCTATCAAGTTATTTAAATGTTTTTGTGGAACACCTAAACCAAACCATCAAAATAACCAACCTACCTACCATCCGTCCATCGAACCAACCAAAAAATTAACATGCATAACTGAACCAAGTCACATCCAACATACAACAACAATAAATGACAAACAAAAAACACATTTTTATTTTATTTTGTAGTACTTTTTCGGTTGCCGTTCTCGTTGTATATTGTGCGGTTAAAATTGCTCGTTCATTTGTATGGTACTTTATGGCAAACAAACAGTCAGACAGACAGAAAAAAAAAAACAAACCACACAAAATATATTTTTACATGTAGAATTATATATATTTTGTATTTGGTATGACTAGATAGTAGATAGATAAATATGTAGCAGAAGAGAAATGGTGGGTAACTAGGCGGGAAGAGTAGTAGTAAACACAGGAGCAGTCATTCAGCTAGTCGTTTAGTGGGGAGTGGGATGGACGTACGTTTCGTTGCTTGACTTTGTGTTAGGAATTGGATTAAAAACAAGGATATATACCGATGGCAATTATTTGTATATGTTTGAGTATGAGTATGTTTACAAGTAAATTCCTATATATTTTTGTTTATATATTTTTCGGCATACACGTGGATGATTTTTTGGTTGATTATTAGTTTAGTAAGGCTTTCAGAAAACGTAATACGTATGTACGTCTGTGTACGTTTGTTGGCATGAACGTCAAAACTATGACTTGTATATACAACAGAAATTACAGCAACAAATATGACAGCAACGACGCTACATTCATTAGGTC